TCCCTCCCTGTCTCCCTCCCTGTCTCCCTCCCTGTCTCCCTCCCTGTCTCCGTGGGGCAGACGGGCATGGGACTCTTGGATCAGAGGCGATTCCTTCCTTCCCATTCACCCTAACCCTTTCTTACTCTGAGGAATCCCGGGGGTTTTCCGGAGCTCAGAGGTGCCTTGCGTCTTGGCACTTGCCAGGAGCTACTGGAGGAAAGGGAGACTCGTGCTGGAGATAGGATTTTAGTTAAAAATCGATTAGCACCTCCATGAATGGAAGAATGTGGACTCCCCCACGGCTGCAAGACTCGAATGGACGTCCTTCCTAGATCTGCGTCTTGGGGGGGGGGCGTCTTGCCATGTCCTTATCTGGGGTTGGCAGCAACTTTTCACCGAACAGACCTAACGTGTCTTTGGGAAGGTTACCTTGCTTGGCTGAACCGTGCAATGGTTTGGGGATGGGAATATCCCTCCCCCTTTCTGTCCATGGGGCCAAAATTGCCCGGAGGTCACTAGGGAGGAGTGAGAGTTGGCGGCAGAGGAATCATTTGTGTGGCGCACCAAGAGCAGACAACCCGTCGTCTGAGACCTGGCCGATCAGGAGACCCTCCATTTCTGTCCCAGGCACCGGTTCTGGACACTGAACGTCTGAATGGTAACTGCCCACCAGCACAGACACGTCATGAAACCTAAAATGCTTCCTCCCTCTCGAAGGCTCCTTATTGGGGGGGCGGCTGGGATCGGCAGCGAGAAACTGAACTTGCCCCAGCGACAAGAAATCCTTCCCCCGAACTGGCCAGCTCCTGCGAAGCATCCTTCTGACCCAGGGCCACCTCCCGATCCTCGCCTCCTCCTTTTCTTCCTTCCCTTGGCTCCGTTGCCTTCTCCCCTCCCCCCGCCCCCATGGAAGTCATCGACGCGCAGGGCAACCCTGGCGTGGGCTCGGGGGAAAGAGGGGACCCTCCACCTCGGGCGGGCGCCTGCACGGTGAACTGTGAAAAGTGGATACATTTCGGGCTTATCTATGCTTTGTTATGGGTCTGACGTGAGTCCACGTCCCGATCACTCTCCCGCTCCCCCCTTCCAGCCCCCTCCTCCTCCTCCTCCTCCTCCTCTTCCCCTCCCTCCAATATTACAGGCAGAATTTCAGTTAAAAGTGTTACAGTATTACGGGGCTGGAACTCAGGATAACCACACAAGCCCCAAGGAAACCTTAGTAGCAACAACTTAGCTATTGGCTGGAGGCTGAGCGAGAGAGAGAGCGAGAGAGAGAGAGAGAGGGAGAGAGGCGAATAAGCGAGGAGGGAAGAAGAATCCAATCTAGAGAACGTGAGTACTCTCATTGTCCGAGTTGTTAGCAGCAAAATAGCAACAAATAAGCACTAGTTTTTAAAAACGACCACAAACTTTAAGTCCCCGGGAGGAAAAATATACCAGACGAGGAAGATCCCCTATAAGGCACACAATGCAGGGGGAAAAACGCCCTTTTAAAATGGTTACTCGGTCCTGTCCATCTCCACAACCCCCCCCCCATCATCTTTATTTCTCGAAAATCCCCCATCGTGGGGGAAATTAGCCCCATTTATTCTCCCGGATAGTCCGAATGGGTTTCCAAATTCTGTTTATTTCTTAGGCGTTTCTTTTCTTCCTTTAAAATAAAAAAAGGGAAAGAAACCCCCTATCCGTGGGGCTTCCAAATCCTTCCCTTCAGTCGCCAGCGCCGCAGAGCGAGCTCTTGGTTGGCTCCGAGCTCCGGATTGTTTAATAGAAAGATTTATATACTAACAGTATTATTTACTCTGGGAGGGGAGGTGGCAGTCTAAGCGTATGCTAATTAGCTGGAGATTTTTTTGGGGGGAGAGATGGGAGGTGGGTGGAAAAGGGGGTGGAATATCAATTTTTATTGCATCACCTGTCAGGAGTGTCCAATCAGCGCTGGCTTTAGGGGAATTAATTGATGAAGGTGTCTCCGGACGAGCTCACTTCACTCTGTCATTTGATTTGGAGCAAAAGCAGCGGCGGTAAGAGCGGCTGTGCGGCTCTTCTCGTCTTCCCGTCGCCCCCTTTCCTCCACATTCCTTTATCCTAGCTGGGCGAGGGGGGGAAACGCAGCCCGCCAAAGGGCACAGGTAGCCTGCCTGCCTGCCAGCCAGCCAGCCAGCCTCAGTCCCGTCCTGAAGCGCCGGGGCCAGCCGAGCTGATTTTCCCCCCAGGCAGTTTTCCAGGGCATGTTTCCTCCCCCCTTCATCTAAAGCTCCTTCTCGCTCTCTTTCTTTCTCTCGCTGCTGATCCCCCCACCCCCAAAGTTTGATCAGGAATAACAGGCTTTGTTCTTTTTCATTCAGCAGAATGCCTTGAGACCAGCCCAGCACCTGGCTGAGGATTTTTATAGCTTTCTTTTCTCCCCCCCCCTCGCTTTTTGGAGGGGGGTGGTGAGATTTTCGCCCCCTCCCTTCCTGCTGCTGCTGCTGCCGCTACTGCTCGCCGTCCTCTGGGGCTGGGGAGCCCCGCCGGTCTCCCTTTTTATGCTCCCCCTGCCCCAATGCTGGGAATCATTTAAGACGCGCCATGGGAGACTTGAAGTCGGGCTTCGAGGAGGTGGACGGCGTGCGCCTCGGCTACCTGGTGATCCAGGGCAAGCAGATGTTCGCCCTCTCGCAGGTCTTCACGGATCTGCTGAAGAACATCCCGCGCACGACGGTGCACAAGCGCATGGACCACCTGAAAGTCAAGAAGCACCACTGCGACCTGGAGGAGCTGCGGAAGCTCAAAGCCATCAAGTCCATCGCCTTCCACGCCGCCAAATGCACCCTCATCTCCCGCGAGGACGTGGAGGCTCTCTACACCTCGTGCAAGACCGAGCGGGTGCTCAGGACCAAGCGGCGGAGCCGAGGGCCGCCGGTCCAAGCCCCCCCCGGGCCGGAACCCTACGCCGCGTTCTGGAAGGACGGCGGCAAACTTTGGCTGGGCTTGAATGGAGCCGCCGCGGCGCCCCGGCGGAAAGCGTGGCGGCCGGCGGGCTCGGGCGCCTTCCTACCGGCTTCGGATCTACCTCACTTTTGGAGCCAATCCCCCGGGCAGAGCTCGCCGGGACTGGCCCGGTCGCCTCGCAAAGGGGCGGCAGACTATGAAACTGGCCCGCTGGGGCCCCGCTACGTCTCCCTGGCTGCGGAACCGGCTTATTTCCGGAGCCTGCTCTGCTCCAAGCACCCCCACTACTACTACCACTCCGCGGCCGCCATTGCCAGCCAGCCCAAGCTCGCCGCCGCCGCCGCCGCCGCC